CTATTAACCGTAGGCTTAATAACCGGCGACTACTGTACTAGAATAGAAGTATATTCTGTCCAACCTAGGCTGTGGTGATCGTGAATGCCTAAGGCCAGTTCAGGTGACCGCACCAATCTGCGCATCCGACCCATACTGCTGGGCAAGTTGGTTTGCTATGGTCGCCACTGTAACCCACCTGCCGACCTCGGGACCCTGTGATCACTCACGATCAGTCTATCGAACGTAGAAAAATAACTGTAATTATAAGACAGGCATTATTTGTGGTTACGTGCACAAGGCTGTAGAGAAGACTTTTTTTATTTTTGGTCCGAACTATATGTCTCCCGACCCAGTGAGAAGTTTACGTATGGTTTCCATCCAGCCTTTCCAGCCTTCTCCTGCCGAACTTCTTCATCAGACTTGAACTTCCCGCATTCTGTGTTGAAGGGTGGTTGAACTCATTAGGATGGACACGCTGTTTTGGCAAAAAACATTTGGCAACAGTAATTTAAGTTGTGCACCTCATATACTTCTAGTCCCAGCAGTTTGTCCTATGGAAACAGTGGTTATAGGGGTTTAAGGGTAGGAAATTAGGATAGGCAGTGGAATGTACTTTAATATTTGCTATATACCGACATGTTAGAAGTGTTTTTTCGAATTTATATCTGTACATTTTCCTAGTCTGTATTATCTTTTAACGTATTGCGGAAAAACCAGATTACCGAAATGTAGGTTTCTTGAAATTCTTGAAAGGATAGAAATGGTGGTTAAGAGGTCGTCTTTTTCAACTTATCTGAAGTCCAATTTACCGTTCTAGAGTTAGATTAGTCTAGTCCGTGGCGCGAGGCTAGGCGCACACCTCCAATCTACACGGGGAACAAATTCAACTACATTTTTCCACTTTACACTCACTTCTACTAATTTTACTCACTGCCTATCCTATTTTCCCCCACCCCCAAAACCCCGTATTACCAGCGGTCCCGTATGGCAGATTGCTGGGGGTGGGAGTATATGAGGTGCACTACTTAAACTACCTTGGCCAAACATTTTTTTTCATTTTTCAATTTCTTCTTTCACATATACTGAGGTGTGTCATAAGTTTTTTTTAGCAAGTCAACGAAGTCCAACCGTTACGGCATTGAAGGGATTCCATCTTCGTCCTATTTTGCCTTAACTTTCACCCGTGCGTTTTCACTAACGTGGGTACTGTGTGCCACAGCAGCTTAGCGGCTGTTGGCAGCATGCTGATGTTACTTTTTTTCACCGTGTTACTCACACAAATACTAGGGGCCTTGACATTATGTGTGTGTGTGTGTATGCGTACTGTGCAGGCACTCGCTTATTGGAGCCCGCGTGTGTAACCGTAGCGGCCCACGCATCGCCAATCGTAATCTGTTTCATCGTCTTGGCACTTTCAGCCTGCGTTTTCACAGTTCTAAACACGCGCTACTACCGTTAACTTGCTCTGCACTTGGCGGTTATCATTGAAACAAAATCTGCACTTCCAGCAGTATTTCGATTCCAAAATCACTGTAGTTAACAAGCTACTCGGAGTCAAACAAACCTATAGTACTCTCATTTACGTTACTAACCGGACATTATGGACGCTGAGGCGTCTACCAGTGGCATCAGCTGTGGCACCTTGCCCGGTCGGGGTCGAGGTCTCTTTCGAACGCCGAAGGTGAAACGCAGCGCCTCCCTATTTTCCTGTTTTCCTACCAAAAAACCAATAAGGCAGCTGCGCCAGGATGATCTATTGTCGCGTGTACGCGAAAATTCTGATCGACGTTGTTTTACCCTTCCCCCTATGCCCACGCGTACTTCTACGCTGCTCACCACCACCAACGCAACCGCACGGGATACTCCGGATTCCTTCATCCTACCGGCCCGCTATCCCACGCTCACGGCTGGCGAACGTTTTCCATCCCCCACCTCCCGTCCCTATCACTCCAAACTGTTGGCCTTCTTTCGTGGCCGACAGGCGGAAGCGAACCAAAGCTTTCTGCGAGCGGCTAGGTCAGGCAACATAGGCAAAATTACTGAGTACCTCAATGCAAATGTGGATCTAAATGCTGTCAATTCGGTGAGTCGCAACACCCTACTTGTTGTTTTTCAGCAGGCGTGCTGATTTATGCT